TCTGTGCTCATTTGTGATGTGTGCCCCTCTCCAACATTCTCTTGGAGTTCAGGAAGCTGAAGATGTGCTTTCTTGCAGTGTGAGGGCGACGGTGCTTCTGTGTTCCCTTTGACTTACAGTTGGCTGGCACTGTTGTTCTAAGCCTGGCGTGTATCTGGCTGGTTGTTCCTTCCTGGACTTTTGATGGCTGGGAATTGGCTGGCCATGACCGCTGGATTCCACTGTAGCATTTCATTCCAGCACATGCACCAGAGCACATTCCTGCCTGTGGAGGAAGCAGCTAAGGCACAGGTGTCCTGATGACAGCAGTGTGGCCTCAGACTGATCAAGAAAAAGATGAGGAAAAGCCATGAAAGCAATTTTTCATATAAATAAATACAGTAAGAAACCAAAAAATATTACCAGAGTGAATCTGGTGGGTGGTAGCTGAAGAAACCAATTCTCCATCTTTTTCAAGAGATAGCCAAATGGCTTCTGTACACCTCATGAGCAAATGATACACTTCCAGCAGTGCCCAACTCACTCAGGTGCTTCTCCATTATGTTCCTCATTGGGCTTCTCTAGGGTTCTTTGTCTAAGTTCCTGTTTATAGAGAGTTGGAGGATTATAGATGTGTTCTGAAGATTTTTCTGGGCAAAAATGTACAAGGGCTCAAAGAATTGGATTCATCTGTTAGTTGCGGTGGCTATACCTAAGGTTTGCTAGGCCCAGAGTGTTCGATTTGTGAGAGATACTCTCCATGAATATAGAGGTCTGTTCTGCAAGCCTAAATAAATATGTAAGTGAATAAAGTTGAAAGAAGCAAATGGCCAGTGAGGTGACCATGCTTCCACAATAGGTGCTGCTGAGGGTAGAAGCCTGACTTGTGAGTCCTGTTGTATCTCTCCGCTCTTTAATGGAACCTGGGAACCTTGATTTCCCCGTCCTGGGTCCTCCCCTCCTTGTCTCTTCCCCTTTCCTCTCCTTTCGCCCACTCAGCAGTACTGGGGATTGAACTCAAGGTCTTGTGTACATTAGGCAGGCATTCTTACATCCCAGCCCCAGTGGCTGGTTTATGTTGAGCCTGAGTGTATGATGTTAGTAATATAACAATAAGTGAAAACAGTCACAGGCCCTGCCCTCAAAGAACTTTCTGTGGGATAAGAGAGAAGGATCTTTATCAAAACAAAGACACACAGAAATGTAAAGTCATGACTGTGTGGGCATGATAGCACAAGTCTATAATCACAGCATTCTGGAAGGCTGAGGCAGGAAGTTTGCAAGTTCAGGCAACTTAGTGACTTTGCAAAATCCTGTCTCAAACTTCGAAAAACAGGGTGGGGTTTGGATGAGACTTAGTGGGAAGGCCCTGAGTTCAGTCCCTAGTACTGTCAAAAAAGAAAAAAAACAGCAAGAAGTCTGGCCAGTGGCATGAAGGGGCAGTGTTGGTGCCACGAGGGGGTTGATAAAGGGCTGTGTCTCTGTAGGGACATTGCAGAAGGGTTTCCTGAGGAAATTCTGTGTCAGATGAGATCTAAAGGAAGGCAGAAGCACTCAGAAGACAAAGTGAAGAGGGAAAACAGGGAGGGGGTTCCAGGGTCTAGGCAGAGGCCAGCAGGCCCAAGGGCCCTGTGAGAGTGAGGCAAAGGGCAGTCTTGGTGTTTCCTTCGGATTCTTTTTGCCATCCTTCTCTGTGGTAGATCTGAGGAACCACAGAGAGGTCAGGAGGGAAATGACCTCTCTGCGGGAGCTTCACTTTCTTTTCCTCAAGGGTTGCTCCTGAGTCCTGCCTGCCTTTCCTTCCTATTTGGTCCCTTTGGGGGTCTTCTCTGCAGCTGAAAAAAGGGCTGGGCAGGGGTTCCACTCAAGCGGCATCTGAGCACTTACAGAGCTTGTGTTGGAGCAGGTAGTGCTGTATGAGGCGCCTCAGGGCGTTCTAACTATGAGCTCTTCACAGGGTGCACGGTCCTAGGAAAGTCAGTCCAGCACAGGAACTCCAAACAGCACATGGACTCTGATTTCCAGATGAACCTTTAGTCTCTTTCCTTTTCCTTCTGTTTCCTTTTGCTTCCTGATTTGAGCTACTGTATCTTAAAAATTAAACACAAACCTTTCTTTGCTCATATCACTCCCCTAGCAAGCCTGGTAGTAGCTAGTAATGACTACTTGTGTAAGTAGCCTGTGGTCTTGTCTTTACTCGAAGTCAAGATTTGTGCTTCAAAATTTCTGAGGAAATAAGAGCCTCTTTTCCTTTCCTTTCCTTTGCTTAACTTAACTTAACTTAGTGCTTTCCCTTTGTCTTCTGAGTGCTTCTCCCTTTCTTTAGATCTCATCTGACACAGAATTTCCATTCCTTAAGTTAGTACTTTCCCTCATTCCTACCGAGGAGCTCAGGTATGTTTGATGTCCATGGTTTGGTGGAGTCAAAAGAATATATCTTCTTTTCCAGATCTGGGAAGCATAACTCTTTACATGGAGTCCCCTCAGGACCCAGGCAGCCTCTTACAGAACCACACTTGCCTCCTGTTATAAAGTAAGGATTGAAACTGGGCTTGGTGGCGCACTCCTGTAATCCCAGCTCTTGAAGGCTAAGGCAGGAAGCTTGTCCCAAGTTTGAGGCCAACCTGAGGTACATATTGAATACAAGGACAACCTGAACTACGTAGTGAGACCCTGTCTCAGAAACAAACAAACAAACAAACAAAAAGGATTAATAACATAAGACCTATGCATATCCTGGAATCCGGGTATGTATTTGGTTCATTTTAGGGGCAGAGGATCGCAGCTTGTATTCATCCAAGTCTCAGAGGAGTTAGAACTTGGGCATCTGTTTAAGAGCAAGACTAGAGCAGAATAAGGAATGTAGACCCTAGTGCGACCCTTAACACAGTATCTGTGTGATCTAGAGTGAATGCATCTTGCGACCTCTCTGGACCTCAGATTCCTCAACTGTGAAATGAGAGGTTTGAATGAGAGGGTGTCTGGGGTCCATCCAGGAAATAAAGCATGGACATGGGTGTGTTGGGGGGCACGTCTTGGCTGCCAGGTTCCTGTCTTGGTGTGTCAGGCTGAAGTGTTCCCAGACTGCCCTTCTAGGATTATTCTCACCGGAGCTAAGTGGCCCCAAAGAGATTCTTTGCTGAGTGGTTTGGTGGAGAAACGGTTGACAGGAGCCTGGAGGGGCTCCCTCCCTCCCTGCTGTCCAAGCAGTGACAGATGGCCTTGCTGAACAAGGATGCTCCAGTCACGTACTTATGACAGGGCCTCACAGCAGATCAAGGACAGGACTGGAATCTGGAGACAGTAGGTCAAACGCTGCTTCTGTCCTTGTTGCTAAGCAGGGAACATTGGCTGTCTCAGAGTGTTGCTGTTATATTGATTCACGGGTGCCTCTTGCCCTCTTTTCTGTATTAAACTAGGGCTTTTTTCAGATGGAGCCCAAGACTACCTAGATAGTTTAATTGTATCCCTCACTATCCCCGTTCACTAACAGAATTGCTTGAAACCCAGGGTCCATAGAAATGCGACTATTCAAAGCTATGGGTTGCACTGCACGTTCCTTTCCCTCCTTACTACCTCAGAGCTTTTGCTTTTAGAGAAGGAAGCTTGGCGGTTTCGATCTAGAAGAAAGAACTTTTCTTCTCTGGAGTGGTTTGTGAATCTGTGCGGCATGCTGGGAAAAGACAGGCGAGGGGGGTGGCAGACTTGGACTTAGTGCCTTACGTCTGGAGCACCTGATACCGGGCCTCTTGTTAACCTCCTGGAGCTCCAGGAACCTTACCTGTAAAAGGTGGGCAATGCAGAAAAAAAAGCAGTGTTGTTTTCAGTTACGGTGGTATGAAATAATTTGGGACAAGCACTACTTCAGCACCACATTCAGTAAACAGCATTGTGCTTTTTTCCATCTTTCTTTTTTTTTGGTCTTTTTCTTTTTTTTTTTTTTTCATCGGTACCGGGGATCGAACTCACGACTGCCTGCTTGCAAGGCAGGCACTTGTGCTGCTGAGCTAAATCCCCAGCCCCATTTTCCCATCTTTCTAAGGAACAGGAGCTACTTCTTCCCATTCCTTGTTATTTTAGGTGTACGTAAGGCAGAGTTGAAGTCCACTTTTTTTTTTCTTTTTTAAATTTTATTTAAAGAAAGACTAAACAAAACAGAAAATGGGTAGAAATAATGCATACTTTCAAAGAAAAATAAACAGTAAGAAATCACTAGTTGATGATTACAGATTGTCCTCTTATAAATAGTTATTCAAGATAGTAAAGTGGAGCATATAAAGTAGGGTTTCAAACAGCGAGATTGCAACGAGTTCTGTTCAACTATCTGACAGAAACTTAGAAATATGGTTATCAATCCTATACACTTAAGCGTATATGCAGTTGTCCATATCTTCAATTATGTTGAGATTGAACAAACCCAAGTAGTGCTATATCACTCGAATCAAAGAATAATACTATTGCTGGGTGTCACATTATGACACTCGAGGATCAGCACTGGGTATTTTAGTGTCTCTTTTTCTTCAGAGTATCTGTTCATTTCATCATGTGTCATAACATCAGTTCTCATGAATTTCACTTTCTAAAGTGCTTGGAGGATATTGTCTCAAGCCAGCCAGGCATAGTTTTGTCTCTCCCACCTCAGCGGGCAGATTTATTTCACCTGAAGCATCTGAAAGGCATGGAAACCCCGCCCCATTTCCCACTAACTGTGCATGGGCCTTTGGTGGTAGATGCCTGTGCTTCTTGCTCCTTCTGGACTCAGCTTTAACTCCAAATGCTCAGGTCCTGTCTTATCTGTTAGGGCCTTTGGCCTGATGGAATGGGAAAGCTGGCCCGTTTATGACTCTGTTTGACTTTCCTGATAATTAGAATGCTTTTGCCCCAGGAGGAAGGCAGGAGATCTCTCCTTTTTGCTGCAGCACTGGGCTGCTGAGGTAAAGGGATGGCCAGTTTTCACATTCCTACTGGCTTCCCCAGCTTAGCATTCTTGTTGCATGGAATCTTTTAAGACTCTGGAATATGTGCTTGCTTTGGCAGCGCGTATTCTAAAACTGGAACGATACAGAGAAGATTAGCATGGCCCCTGCACAAGGATGACATGCAAATTCGTGAAGTGTTCCATATTAAAAAAAAAAAAAAAAAGACTGGACTATCAGGGTGGGCTGAAAAGCTCTTACTCTGTTTTGTGGTCTTATTTTGGAAGGTGAGTGGCGTGTTTGCTCTGTTCCCATCTCTGTATTACAGCTGTGTTTTATACAGCACTGAGTCTTTTCCCAAACATACCTCCTCCTCCTGTGAACATTGGCCAAACATTGCTGGACCTTTTTCCCTGTAGTTCCCATTTAGTCTCAGAGTCCCTTTCCTGTGGGAGATGACACACGTGAGTTTTGGATAAACCTGGATTTGCACCCCACTTAGCTCTGTTATTTGTTAGCTGGGGACCTTGAGCAAATTACATGTTCTGTATCCTTTAGTTTCTGCAAATTGAAAAAAGAATAGTTATAGTACTGTATATTAGTGTAGAGGATAGAAGTAAGGATTAAATAAGATAATCCATGTGAAGCTGTTAGCAGTGCCTGATATTTAGTAAGTGATCGGTATATTGGCCACCATGATTATAAATTCTGGCTGCTGCATTTGCTCCCGTGGTATTTACATCACAATTTGTGCCATACTTTTGGTATACTTTGTCTTGTACTTGCATTTTCAGTGTTTTAGTTATTCACTCCAATTACACTATAGATTTTTAAAATTCAAAATATACATGTTAAATAATACAACATTGAAATATAAAGAAAGTCCAATTTCCTTTTCAGCCAGACTTGTAAGACACTTACTTCTAGGAACAAATGCAGTTATGTTTTTGTTTCTTTTGGAATTTTTTTCTCTATGAAAACATAAGATGCTCAATAGGGTTTTCTGGTTTTTTTTTTATCGTTACTGGGGATCAAACTCATGACCACCTGCTTGCAAGGCAGGTTCTTATGCCACTGAGCTAAATCTCCAGCCCCAGGTTTTCTGTTTTTATCTTTATTTTTTTTCTTTTAAAGTTTTTGATCCATATGTTTTTTTTTTTTTTTTTTTTAATTGGTACTGGTGATTGAACTCATGACCCACCTGCTTGCAAGGCAGGTGCTTGTGCCGCTGAGCTAAATCCCCAGCCCAGATCCATATGATTTTTGATAACATGGATATTATTCTTTTACTCTTGTCTTTTCTTGCTCCATACTTTTCTCTCACACTCATATCATGTATAACAGAGGACTCTGCACATAGCAGTCCAAGTATTTGATAGTAACTCCAGTGTTCCTAAGAAATCTTGGCCTCTTTTTGTCCTTAGTTGCATTTAGTAGTGGTCTCGTCCTCTACCTTTTCTTTCTTCTCTATTTTGGTGTTAGAGAGTGAATCCACAGCCTTTACATTGAATTGTATCCCCTTCTTATTTTTTATTCTGAGACAAGGTCTTTCTAAGACCCTAAATTGCCCAGGCCAGGTTCAAACTTGTGATTATCCTACCTCAGCCTCTCAAAGTGCCAGCATCTCAGGCATATACCACTACACCTGGCTCAACTATATTATCAGATAAAATTCATTTGTTCTCTTTTAAGGTCTTGTTTTTTATGTATCCATTCCATAAACTTTTTCAGGAGCCTTGGACTCTAAAGAAGGTGAGCATTGGAATAGCTTGTGTGGTTGGAAACCTAAGGTTTGCCTCTGGATTCGCCCAACTGTGAAGGTTCTGACAGCGCACCCCTCCCTAGGAGCCAGACAGGCAAAGCAGGGCCCTAGTAGGGACTGACACTGTACCTGAGACCTGTCCTGGCAAATCCTGGTGACTGTTTGCGACAGTGTGCCTGATAGAGCAGTGTAACAGGACAAAGTACCCTGGAAAAAAGGAAAATGTTACCCCGGATTCCAGTGTGCAGTCACAGCTGATTTCACCTTTATAGTTGGTTCTGTTCTTGTCCTGTGCCTCATCTCCTCTCACAGGTTAAGTCACAGTGTACATGCTGTCTGGATACTTAGGATTTTTTGGTTTCTGCATTCCGTTAACCTTCAAGAGTCTAAACAGAAGAGAAAAGGACTGTAACTAGGGAGAGCAGTGACATTCTTTATCTTAGTCATTCATTTTAACTTCGTTTGGAGCTTATTTATGCAGGTGGAGCTTCCGATACCTTATAGCTGTGACCAGGAGAAGCTGAGTGAATTGCCAAAGTGATGCTGGTGTAGGATTCCTGAGTCTCACGATGCTATTACTTCCCTAAGCACTCCTATCCTTCACTCTGCCCACATATTACTAATAACGGAATGAGGGGTCAGAACCATATGTGCCAAGGTTAAAGTTGGGGAGTGGAGTCTGTGTATCTTCTTTCTTGGTTACTAATGGGAACATTTTTTTTTTTTTTTAAATTAGTACGGGGGATCGAATTCATGACCATGCGTGGGAACATTTTTTGAAATGTGATGTGGAGGTGCATCATATTCTGTATTTGATACTTTAGAATTTTATTTGAAACAGTACATACTTCAAATACTACAGGCAAAGGTGGCAGTATTCCCATTTTATAGAGGAAATTGAGACTTAGAGGTTTAATACTTTGCCTTTGAGTTAGACATAGTTAGACGATGATAGAGACGGAATGTGAATTCAGGTTCTAGAGTGCTTGCATGATGTCTTCTATACTGCTCTTGGAGGATGGACCACAGGAGGAGACCTTCTCTAGCAACTTGTTCAGCAAGAGACCCTTGACTCCCCACAGCCTGGACTGTACACCTGGTCTTCGGGTCTTTGTGGGGTAGATCATTCCCACATCTGGAATTGCAGATAGGGAATCCTTAGGAAGCCTCTGGTACCTCTAGACATGAAGGCCCTAAAATGCACAAGATCTGAGAGCTGGTTTCTCATTTCTGCTTTACCTAGGCTTCCTCCAAAAGTACCTCTTGAACCTTAGCTCTGCTGCTTGTTATTGTTTGTCCTGAACCACAGTTGGGCTTATCCAGAGCTGTCCAAAAGTTGGGCTGTAATACAAGTTTTCACTTTATTGGTCTCTTGTTTCTATTTGTGTTTGTTTTGTGCTTTTGTTTCTGTTTAACTGAAGGGTATATATATAGATTTCAGATAAATTCATAGATGATTGTTTATAGAACTTAACATTTTTTTTTTAACCAGAAAAGAAACGTAAATTTGAAAACAGATTTAGACACATTTGTTAACAGCAGAGGCCTGTGTGGTTATTCAGAGCCTCAACTTTCAGCTCCATGTCACCTTGGAGGTGGGTGGGCCATTCTGGGTGCTGCCTGTGTACAGTGCCAGGTGGACCATGTCTGTCCCACGTGGCAGTTCTGTTCCCCTAGAGAAGAGCGAGGCATCCCTTCTGGGGTGTGTTTATCTGTTTAGATCAGTGTCATGAAATGTAAGCTGGACTTCATGTTCATTCTTCAGTACCTCAATTTGGATAGATTGTTGGTGGAGCAGCACCCAGTTCTCCACAAATGTGTCCCAACTCTTTTCCCACAATCAGAATCTTGACTGTGTTGTTACTGGTCCTTGTGAACGTTTGTGATTTACAATAACTTTTTTTTCCAGGACTAGGATTTGGACTCATGCTTGCCAAGCAGGCACTTATGCCGCTGAGCTAAACCCCCAGCCCACAAAATAACTTTTGAATGACTCAGTCTGGCAGAAACACTCTTTCAAAAGGGATTTTGAGCATGAAATTTAGGAGCTTCTTTCTGTACAGTCAGTGACTGAGATTAAAAGGGGGAATTTAAAGTAGTGCTGCTTTGAACCCTCTAAATGATGAAGAAAGATAAAAGAGTTGGGCTAGTTTTGATTTAGGATACTGTCTTTCCTCTTCCTCCTGGCTGGCACAGCTCTGGTCCTAAATCCTTAATGTGTAAGACTTGGGCTTCATCTAGAGCATGGCTCCAGCTTTTAGGGGCCATTGAATCTGCCCAATTGTAGGTTCCTCATAAGCAAGCTTTTGGTGCTTTATCTACTGTTTAGTGTATTGAAAGAGATACTGAGAGTAGGAAAATTAGCAAAGATGACCTTCCAAAAAGAGTAAAAATGTCCCTGCTTAGGAAAAAGGAGATATTCTGGGATCTTTTCTCACCCAGGGGCTCCCTAAGTGCGGAGAATAAGTACTGCACTTTGTGGGTATTCTGGGTATGTTTGTTAGGTCCACTTCCCCAAGCAACAGAAAGGAAGGAACAGACAGGCACCCCCTTGGAAACCAAGGTTCACCTGCTTGAGAATTCGCCCAGCCATGGTGAGAGAGTCAGCTCGAGCTCCTGAGAAGAGGGTGTGTAAAGTAGTATTTGGAGGTGGGTTGGGAAAGTTCAGGTGCAGTCCTCATCTTCCTTGCTAGTGGGCAAAGAGGTATGAGGAAGGAACTACAAAAGGACCCACAGCGTAGCCTGAAAAAGACAGTGAGTCAGAGCAGACGTAGTCTTAGCCTGAGGAGGTGCATGAGGTTGGTCCCTCCCTGCTCTTAAAGGCTGGAGATTTTGAGGGTGATTCTTAAGAAAGTTTATTCATGCTTTGCAGGGCAATTAAGGTTTTGAGGTTGACAGCCTGCATCCTTTGTGGTGCAGGCTTCCCTGACTGCAGGGTGAGAGGAGGAAGGAGGTGTCTGTGCTGAGTGGTGCTGCTTCCTCCTCTGCCCTCAGATGCTTTTTCCTCTCTGATGCCCTGAATGGAGTACGGTTCACAGAGCCTGGAATGTTTGCCTTTGTGTGGGTTATGATTCTTAACCAGTTTATTTACCCAGCAGGTCCTCAGAAGAATTGGATGTGCTTGCTGTTATATATAGATGCTGTAGGACATATGATACTTGTATCATATACATAATAAAGGCGTCACTTCCGTTACATTCTTTGTATCCCTGGGAGTCTCCTGTGTAAACACACCCTAAATAGCTGGAAGCATAAGGTGCTGTATGGCATAGCATGCCAAGGATACACAAGTTGGGGACCTGGAGAAGGTAGAATTCACTGGAAGTCCTTAATGGAGGAGTTAGGTCTTAAAGAATGTATGACATTGGTCATACATGGGTAGGCCTTGAAGACTAGGACAGTGAGGTGCCCACATGCAACCCCTCCAGGGACCTCCCTGTTTCAGAGCTT